TGTGTGTGTGTGTGTGTGTGTGTGTGTGTGTGTGTGTTTGTGTGTGTTTTACTACTTTACAAAAATCACAGCAATACTGTTATCTATGCAATAATAATATGGTTAATGGTAACATTATTTTAAACAAAATAACTTTTAAACACTGCCTATATTAACCAGTCTTTTAAAATAATGCTGCACAAAGAACTTACAATGACAAAAACTGCACCGATCAGGAGAGCTTTATGCTTTACATCCATATTCATCGGGACTGTAACAAAGAAAGAAAGGTATAATTGTTTTGTCAATCATGTAAGCTTAGTTTAGCAAAGGATCACACTATATTACTACACAAACACATATACAAACGAACCAGTTGATGAAGGAGACAATCAGCCTGCCCACACAGGAATGGCCCCTTTTGAAGAGGGGCCTGGAAGTTTTGGAGCACATCGTCTTCCTAGGACCCAGTTCTACATTAAAGTATTCAGCATACACACAGACACACACACAAACACACACATACACACACACACACACACACACACACACACACACACACACACAACCCCAACATCCACCAAACATACACAAGACTAAATTGCAAGGGAGGGGAAAAATCCATCTTAAACATTTTCCGTCTTGCACAGGGCAATTGTGGGGGAGGGAGGTCCAGAGGCCTTGGGGGCAACAGCTATCCCCAAAGCCGATGTCTGTTAATTGTATGAACACTAAGAAAGGGCCTACACTGCCGTAAGCTGACAAACTTGCTAAATCAGAAGTCTGAAAAAAAATCGAAGTGAAACTGTGACTAGATTTTTAATAAATTCAAATTCAAATTTCGAAATCTCTTTATTTTAAAAACGTTACACTGACAAAAAAAAACTATTTCTCTCAAAACTGCTGTAAAGAAAAAAGGGCATTTTGTCAGCTTTTGGCAGAGTAGGCATTGCCCATGTCGCACGCCTTCCATACTCCCTTCGTGTGACGGTGTGGCTTGTTAAATATATAAATTAGAGCCGATGGAACAAAACTTCAGCGTTTTTGTTTCAACTCAGGGTTGAGTGGGCACTGCATTTTCCGTCTTCGACAGGGTAAAGCCGTCCGAACAAGAGTAAAGTCTTTTTCCGCTTACAGATCGCGTAGATTCCCATTTTCTTTATCTGTTTTTGAGAAATGTTTTAAGGGGAGCTTGGAGAATACATTATACCATGTTTCCACTTAGACTGGTTGCCCTTAAGGCAGGTTCTTTTTTATTTTGTTTACGTTAGAGAATAATTCATATGCAAAAAGTTGAAACTAGTTAAAATCTAGTCAAACGTTTTTTATAAACACAAGTATGTAAACATCTGCTTCGATTATTCACAATGTGGCATTCACATTTGAAACAATCTCTCAAATTTCCGAAGAAACTATTCTTTGGTTTACATTTTTCCTTTTTGAGTAGCTATAAGAACAAACAAAAATTTTGCCAGAAAGAAACATTTGGTTTATTACAAGTAAAAGTACACAATTGCTTCAAACAGAAATCTTGGGAGGAATATGGAGGGAAAGATCAACTTTTAAAAAAAAGAAATCAGTATGTTTTTGCTGTAAGAATTTCCTAAAGGCTCACTGACTGGTTCCCAGTATTATCAAAACTTAGACAAGGATGTGTGCTCACTCTGCTTCTATTTATTACATCTCGTAATATATGGACAGTCATCAGAGAGGCAAAAATGTATCTCGACAATGTGGAATCAGACGATCGTCAATTTTTGGGCACGTGGAGTTATTGGTATCATCTGAAAGCTGATTAATTTTCCTTGATTTCAATTAAATAAAAATATGTTTACCTTGAAGAACTCAACAATGTTGCGATTGAATGAAGTAAGGTCGACTGGTTTCAGTGGTGAAATTAGTAAGAAAATGGCCGCCAAAGTTTGGTAACTGCAATAGCTAAAGAGTCTTTGAAAACTGAAAAACGACCTATTTTGAGCATTTAATCCGTGTTTTTCAGTAAAACTCAAATGGAAATGTGTTTTTAAATGGACATAAAAAAGGTTAAAAGCCAAAAAATAATAATTCGATAAAAAATTTCTAAACTGGCGGAAAAATGACTGTTTCTCTGATTTCGTTATTATTTTGACGAGCGCCTGATTTCACCACGCTGCCTCACATGTATATAATTACAATGCCAGTGTAAATGAACTCCTTCTGGTCAATCACCAGAGCATCTTAAATACAAATCCCAACTGCTTGCAAGAACATACAAATAGCCTGAAAGTGTAAAAATTACCAGATGAAAATCAACATTGCCAAAATGGAAGTCTGCAGAAACCCAGACCCACTAAACATTAACATCGACAGGACACAATTCAAAAAGGTAGAGGAATTTAAATACCCGGGGAGCATATTTAAATGAGAACTCATAAACAAATTAGTGCTGTAACTTATTACAACTCACACAAAAACACCTAACAATGGAAATAAGAAAACTTTTCAACAGCAAATTCCTTCCAACACTGACTTACCAACCCAAGGCATTGCAGCTAAACAAGGCACAAAAAAAGAAAGATTATTATTAAATGTAAGATGAAATGCCTCAGTAAATTAATTAATATTAGTAACAGATATCAAGTCAGTTATGGAACACAAAGAACATCAAAGAGTCAAGTGGTTCCGTCCTCTGGTGGGTGAGAATGTTAATATATCAATCATTTGCACGAGCTTACAATTCTGAAGAGTCAGGATACCAGGGCAGAGGCAGAAAACACAAAACCTGAATGGAAGGCCTTACAGTGGTCCTCCAAAAGAACAGTATAATCAACCACAGAAGCCACCCACCTAGACCTTTATGGAAAATAAATAAAAAGGGGAGATGCGTCCCCGTTCCACCTGATGACTCAAAAGGAAGGATAAAGAAAAGTAATATAGAGTAAATTATATGTGTGCATGCCTGAGGATAGGTAGCCCTATCATAAAATGCATTAATCAAACTGAGATACTTGGCAATAATAGTCTAAATCAATTTCATTTTTTTTTAAATGAGTTCCATTCAAAAATGATTGTGGGGCCATTTATCAACCAATATTTACAAGGCTTTGTGTTTACAAAAAAATGTATTTGGAGGATGCTTTTTTTGGTTTTAGTAATCTTGCAGAGTAAAAAAGATTGCATGGGACCATTAATTTTGCTGTTGGCGGAAGCTTTCTACAACTCATTCGTCAAAACAACCTCATCACATTGCATACCAAAATTTAGGTTAACTAGTGAACTATCTTGATCTGAGAAGTGTAGAGTGCAAGAGTTTAACAAAAGAGTAAAGGATAGCAGACTGCGCATTTGTTCCCTATACATGTACTTCATCAGCGAAGCAGAAACACATCACTCTTCGAAATTTCCATTATTGTCATTTACGACAATTTCTACGACTCATTCATAAAATTCATACCTTCACATTGCATTATATCAGAATTAGGTCAACTAGTGTGCTTTTTTGTGCTGTGCAGTGCGCATGAGTACAACGACACAGTAAATGAAGGGAGGCTTCTTCAATACATGTACCCTTTTGCGCAAAGCTAAGTCATTTTGTGAAGTTTCTAGTTCTACTTGACCATGAATTTCCTTTAAAAACGTTTGAATGAAACTGTTTAAGAGTCTTACATTTTTTTAAACTTTCCTTTCAAAAGAGGCAGTCAAGGGTTTTATGGACAAACAATACAGCTCTCGGATCGATCGGCGGTATTCCTATTTAGTAGAACTTGATCCAGATCTAAGGGAAGTTTTTAAGCCAACTGTCTCCCAAAAAAAATTGTTTCCACCCCCTACCTGACAAAATTAACCAGATCTCACAAATAAATTATTTAAAAATCGATTTGTTCATAAATGATGTTTGTTCCAGAAAATGCAATAAAATTTATTTCCTCAAAATGTGTCATACGGTACCTTCCACCAGGCATACACACATATGTTCACAAATTTTTCTTATTCTAAAATGTGTTTTAAAAACGTTTTTTTAACATACAAGACCGGAGTATAGAGTAACAGTTAGGCTCTTCATCATCACTTGGGGAACAGATTTGTCCAAATCCTGAGTTTGGCAAATCTTTCTTTATCTGTCTGTTGGGATTATATTGTAACAAAATCTAATCCCTTGTGGTTGGCTCTGGGTAGCAATATTGAGGCAGCCTGTGTTCTAAATGCATAGTATAATAATAATATTGATCTGAGTGTAAAATACTTACAATTAAAAGTATACTTACAAGTTATTCCAAAAGTGTCAGCTTTAGTACAACAGTCTTTGAATGCTCCATCCCATATCTTGCTAATGTTGCCCACCGTTGTGTTGTCTTTCACATTTGTCACCTTAGAAGAAAAGGACACATACATGTATTGCAAATGTAGAATTAAGAATGACATAACGCGTAATGTTTTTTTGTAGTTTTATTAAAGGTTTTACGGCGCTCGCAACTGCATGAGGTCATATGAGCGCCAGAAGATTAGAGGTGTTACAAGAGAGTAACAAACATAAAAAAGAAGAAGGGGAGATAAGGACGATAGATGTTTGATAGGAAAGAAGAAGCAAACCACACCAGAGCACCCGCAAAACACCCACAGTGTTTTTGTAAAAGAGACAGTTCTTATTGTAGAAGTAAGAATAATGTAACACATAATGTTATAGTAAAAGATACATAGGCCTATTACTTATTATTGCAGAAGAAACAAAAAGATACACATCTGTAAATGTTAAAGTAAAAAAAAGTCACATATCCGTTACTGTAAATGTTAGAAAAAGACACGTGTCTGTCATAGTATAAGTAAGAAAAGACACTCATCTGTGTTGATGTAAAAGCAAGAAAAAGACACAAACTGTTGGCAAGCTGTTAAAATAGACTAAGCCAATATAGCAAATTTTTTGTAGACGGGAGAAACAAACTTTCATTCTTTCAAAAACTGTACCTATTTTATGTATCTTTTCCTGCTTTTTCTCAATATTTAGAATTTGAATTTTGAGCACTTGCAACCAATACTACAGATTGAGGACCTGCAACAAAAGAAATATTCAAAATGTTGTGCTTAATACATTGGAACTCGGATTCAACGAAGTCATCAAGCCCGCTCTTCAATTTCGTTGAATCCAGGTGTTCGTTATAGCAAAAATGAGGTTTTGGTGTAGATAATTACATGTATTAAGCAAGTAATATATTCAACTTTCTCAACTAAAAGTATTTTGGTTTCAAATGAGAAGCAGTTTCGGTCGTTTCTTTGCTGCCGAAGAAATGCTGGAAAATTCCCGGAAAATACACTGAACTCTACCAAGCACACACTGTGCAAAAGGGTCAATTCGTTCAAATGCACGCCTGGGTAATCTATCATCTTGATAACGTATTGTTTGCTGAATAAGAACTTATGTTTCTGTGTTGAGCCTAGCATAGGGCAACATTTAATTCCACAGTCCAGCACGCAATTTATTTACATAAATTTACGTCAAGCTTCTCACAAATCCAGAAGAACAGAAAGAACGCTGGAAGGAGCATTTCAAAGAGCTACTGAACAGACGAAGGCCAGAAAAACAGTTTGACATTCCACCAGCAGAGATTGATCTGAGGGTGAGTGAAGAAAGGCCTAGTTTAGAGGAGATCAAGGAGGCGATAAGACACCAGAAAGCAGGCAAGGAAGCCGGCCCAGATGGAATTCCCCCAGAAGTTCTCAAGGCGGATATCGACACTGCGACAGGGATTCTTCATGGAATTATTGGCAAGATATAGGACAGCGAAGAAATTCAACTGGATTGGAGAGAAGAATCATGCTCCTTTCCATTCCGAGGAAGATTTTAAGTCGTATTGTATTGGAAAGACGGGAGGAAGCCGTGGATGCAAAACTAAGAGAGGTGCAGGTAGGATTTCGTAAAAAGAGATGTACAGATCAGATTGCAACTTTGAGGATAATAGTGGAGCAGTCCACAGAGTGGAACTCTTCCCTGTACGTTAACTATGTTGACTACGAGAAAGCTTTTGACAGCCTAGATAAGGACTCAATATGGAAGCTCATGCGCCACTACGAAATACCTGACAAGTACGTGAGATTGGTCAAGAAGATGCATGAGGGAATGAGTTACAGTGTCTTACTTGAAGGGCAACAGACACACTCGTTTGAAGTGAATACAGGAGTGAGACAGGATGATGGATGCCTGCTATCACCTTTTCTCTTTATATTAGCAGCGGATTGGATAGTGAGACAGACAACATCGGGACAACGCGGTGGCATACAGTGGACCCTTTCCAGTCAGTTGGAAGACTTGGACTTTGCCGACGACTTGGCACTTCTTTCTCACAGTTGAGCCCAGATGCAACAGAAAACAGATCGCCTCAGGACCTTCTCCCGTAGTGTGGACTCCATATTCACATGGATAAAAGAAAGTTCTACGAATGAATGCAGCCGACATTCCTATCACACTGAAAGGGGCACCATTGGCGGATATTGAGTTCTTCAGAATCCAAAAGGCAAGAGCAGCATTCATCATTCTCAGGAATATATGGATGTCTAAGGAACTGGGATTGTTCACCAAGCTGAGGATCTTCAAAACAAACGTGAAGACTGTTCTACTGTATGGTTCAGAGACATGGAGGCTCACAGCATCAGCAGCAAGGAAACTGCAGTTTCGTAAATGGATGCCTACGAAAGATAGTAGGAATCAAGTGGTACGTTCGAGTCACTAATGCTCAACTGAGAGAAAGAACAAGCCAAAGGCCAATAAAGGAAGACATACGGGTAAAGAAATGAAAATGGATTGGAGACCCCCGACAAGCATTATCAGGCAGTCTTTAACATGGAACCCACAAGGAAAACGTAAGAAGGGAAGACCAAAGATGACTTGGAGGCGAGCGGTAGATGCGGAAATCGAAAAAGGGGGGACATCATGGAAACTGAAAAGGATGCTCAGGACAGGCTTCGCTGGAGTAATGCTTTTGATGGCCTGTGCTCCACTGAGAGTTTAAAAGGGCGAGAGAGGAGAGATGTCAAGATAAGCTTATCATTGTAATACATGCATTGATCAGTAGTCGGTGTGTCTCATCTGTATAGAAGATCTCTCCTGACATATCATGCCCCTTCCGTTTGTAAGGAAAGAACACACATCTGTTATTGTCGGAGAAAGGGAAGAATACACATCCGTTATTTTAGGAGTAAGGAATATTGTAGGAGGAAGGAAAGAAAACACATGTTATTCTCCAAGTAAGGAAAGGATACACATCCGTTAGCCTAGCAGTTAGGAGCTCAGACTCGCAACCATAAGGTAGTGGGCTCGAATCCCATCAGGGACCCCCGACGTTGTGTCCTTGAGAAAGGCACTTTATCCTTATATTCTTCGCTTCAATAAGGTGGGAATGGGTACAAAATATGTACCCAGCTATACACAGTGAAAAATCTTTTCGGTTTGTTAGTGTTTGAGCCCTTAGTCAGCTGCTTGCACTGTATGACTGAATGCTGCCCAGAAAGCTGAGAATGTTTCTAAGCGTTCTTTGGTCTGCTGGAGTAATAATATAATAATATAGTATAAAGCGCATCAAGCTTGCTGTAGAGCAGGGTTATGCACTTTACAAATTCATGCTATATAATATTATTATTATCATTATTATTGATGATTGGTATTATTATTAATTTGTTATTATTATTATTATTATTATTATTATTATTATTATTATTATTATTATTATTATTATTATTATTATTATTATTATTATTATTATCAAGGAAAGGACACACATCTGTTATTGTAGTAGTGGGCCTAAGGAAAGGGCATTGGGATTGTAAAAGACACGTCATTCTTATTTTAGAAGACAAAAAAGGATGCACTCCTGGTTTTGCAGAAGTAAGAAAGAAATATACTTCTGACATTGTAAAAGTAAGAAACAAAACCCACATATCTTTTTTATTGTAAAATTAACATACAAAAAACATTCATTGTTATTGTAACAGGCATGTACTATCTTTGTAAAAATAAGAAAAAGATATATATTAATATATACCTAGCAGGAAAAAGACACACATCTTTTACTGTAAAAAACACATGATTGTTAATACATGATTGCCTTACTGGAAATTTGACGTCCCCTGTACAGCCACATACACACTGGCATGGGCAGAGAGGTCCCCACATTTCGTAGATAAGATTCTCATCGTTATCATAAACTCCGAAGTGAGGTTTGCAGCATGAGTTCCTGGGGGAGGTAGAATGATTTACAATTAAACAGAGAAGGGAATTTATAAGGAAGGGCAAAAGTTGGAAATGGGGGAGGGTGGAGGGAGGGAGAGAGAGAGAGAGAGAGAGAGAGAGAGAGAGAGAGAGAGAGAGAGAGAGAATTTAGACGGGTGTTGGTGTTGGTGTTTTGGGGGGAGTGGGGTATCTGGTAAAATGGGGGAATTCATTAACTGTGGAGAATAGTGGGAACGGTAAAAAAAAAGGGGGGAGAGGTGACATGGGGGGAAAGGGGAAGGAGGAGGGGGAGGAAGAAAAATTTGGGAAGGAAGGATAGGAGGGAGGAGGGGAAAGTGGGATAAAATAAAAATTCAGGGCAAACTCAACCTAAACGAAACCAAAACAAGCATGATGTAACTTTTTACACAACAACTTTTAACAAAGAGACGAATAGGTAAGTATAGGTATGTGAAAGGCCCCACCGGTAAGTCTTATTTTTGTTTTGGCCTTCTGTCATTTCTGCCTTTATTTCTATCTATCTCCTGGCACTGCATAAATATTATTTTGTTGATGTGTTCCTTTTAATCAACTAAAACAATGAAACAAATAGGTCATTATGAACGTGGAGGAAAGAATAAAATATGAGTAAAGAAGAAAGGAAAAAGAGAGTTTGTCTTGTAAATTTGTTTCAATACAGATGTAAAGTACATTCTGACTGTGGCTGTTGCAAGCCACTGAAGTCTTAAATTACTACTTCCACAGGAAAAAGTGTGCAAGTGTCAGTGTGCCAGAAAATGGCTACATACATGTTCCATATTAAAGTCGTATCTCCAAATTTCCACTTTGAAGACTTGCTCTTAATATGTTTCAAGAAGGTTTCCAAGCAATATTTCAACACAAAACTGAAACATGACCTAATTTTGGACTTGCACGCCTCAGAATACGACTATTATCTTTTAATTACTACATCCAATTATGTACAAGATGCCCAGCACAGGTCGGGTAGCTATTTTATTTAACACTATGGAACTCAGATTCAATTCGCACTCGAATTCAGTGAAAATTCTGATTCAACGAAAAGAGACAGATTTCCCGTTTTCTATTAACTAGAATAAATAAAAAATAATTTAGATTTAACAAACATATTAATTGGCGAATTCTGGCTTAACGAAGTTACTTTCAAGGTGAACAGCTCTCGCTGATATGGCTTGGCACATTTTTTCCCGCAACGAACTTTGTCTACTCTATTCCAAGAGACCATCATCAATCGTACATCAATCATCAATGCCTTTCACCCCTGGCAGGGTATAGGCCACATACAAGCTCCTTCCATTTTCTCTGTCCTGAGCCATCCTTCCAAGCTCGTTCCAAGTGAGCTTCATTTCTCTCATGTCCCTTTCCACGCATCTCCTCCATGTTTCCCGTGGCCTACCCCTGCCTCGTGCTCCTTGTGGGTTCCACTGCAGTGACTGTCTTATGATGTTTCCGCTGGGCCATCCATCGCCACTTTCTTAGTCCTACTTCTACTTCTATATCCTTTTGTCCTGTCCTTTCCCACAGTTCTTCATTTCTTATTCTGTCCTGCCACTTAATTCTTAGAATACTCCTCATTCATCTGTTGATGAAAGTCTGGACTTTATTCAGTACTGTTTTCGTTGTCTTCCAAGTTTCGCAGCCGTAGAGGAGCACAGACTTGACGTTGGAGTTAAAGAGTCGAATCTTGGTGCGCAGCGAGATGTTGCTTGCTTTCCAGGCTTTTGATAATTGCTTGAAGGCTGACCTTGCCTTGGCAGTTCTTGCTTTAACGTCTGCCTCGGTTCCACCTTTACCATCGATGACACTTCCAATGTAGGTAAAGGAGTCCACTTCTTCCAGGGGAGTGTCTTCCACTGTCATAGCAGGGCTTGAAACTTTTCCTAGCTTCACTACTTTTGACCTGCCTGGATGTATACGTAGGCCAACACTCCTTGATAGCCTGTTGAGTTTTTGCATCTGAGGATGTGTGTGAGAGAGCAGCGCAAGGTCATCGGCGAAGTCTAAGTCGTCCAGCTGTTGCCAAGGGATCCATTGTATTCCATTACGTTTGCCTCTGGTGGCTTCTTTCATGACCCAGTCAATTGCCAGTATGAAGAGGAAAGGTGAAAGCAAGCATCCTTGTCACACTCCTGTCTGTACCTGGAATGGTTCTGAGAGTTGTCCTTCGTGGAAGACTTGGCAGTTTGTTCCATCATAGGTGGCCTTCACAAGCTTGACGATTTTCTCAGGTATTCCAAAATGCCGCATGAGTTTCCACAGAGTTTCCCTGTTCACGCTGTCAAATGCCTTTTCATAGTCAATGAAGTTGACCACGAGTGGAGAGTTTCATTCAAGCGATTGCTCAACAATGATACGCAGAGTAGCGATCTGGTCCACACATGATCGGTTTTTGCGAAATCCTGCCTGGTTTCCTCGAAGCTTCTCATCTGTTGCCAGCTTGATTCTCTCCAGGAGTATCCTGTTGAAGACTTTCCCAGGTATGGACAGGAGTGTAATGCCTCTGTAGTTGTTACAATTGCTGAGATCTCCTTTCTTTGGCAGCTTGATTAGGCGTCCTTCCTTCCAGTCTGATGGTATTTCCTCCTTTTGCCAAACCTTTTCAAACAGAGCATAGAGAATTTCCACATATGGTCGGGACCAGCTGCCTTGTGGGACTTCAGTGTTTTTATAGCGGCTGCAATTTCCTCTCTTGAAGGTGGTTCCGTAACTATTGGGAGGTCATTTCTGGCTGGAAGAATTTCTGGTTGGTTTTCTGGAGGTTCAATAGTTGATCAAAGTGTTCTCTCCATCGGTTAAGTTGCCCCTCTGGGTTGAAGATAGTCTTTCCCTCTTTGTCTTTCACTGGTAGAGTGGGCTTGCTGAACCTACCTGAAAGAGTTCTTGTAGTCTGGTGTACAATCCGTAAGTGCCCGCCTGTTGCTGCTTTCTCAGCCTTTTCGGCCAGGCCATTCAGGTAGGTATTCTTGTCCTTCTTGATGGAATTCTTTACCTCCCGGTTTACTTCGGTGTACTCTTGTTGGGCAGCGAGTTTCTCAGTTCGGGTACGGCTGTTGTTGACTTGGGCCTTCAGCTCTTTTCTTCTTTTGACTTTGTCTAGAGAGTCTTGTGAAATCCATTCATTCCTGGTGTTGTCTTTGGGTCCTAGCGTGCTCTGGCAAGTTGCATTTACTGCCTCTCTTATCTTATCCCAGTGTTCGTTGACTTCACATTCATCCAGATCTTGAAGGGCTTGAAATCTGTTCTTCAGTTCCAACTTGAACTCATTCTTCTTTACATGGTCTTTCAGAAGGCTCACTTCATACTTTAGACGATTTCCAGCTGTGACTTGTGCATATTTTCTCAGTTTTAGTTTCATCTTTCCAAGGATCAAATGGTGGTCTGATGCGACGTCTGCTCCTCGTAAGACTCGGACGTCCTCCAGTGAGCGTCTAAACTTTCGGTAGATGCAAAAGTGGTCAATCTGGTTTTCCGTTGTTCCGTCCCGGGAGACCCAAGTGGCCTTGTGAATCCTTTTATGTGGGAAGATTGTACCTCCAATGACCAAGTTGTTGAATGTACACAAATTTTGGAACCTTTCTCCGTTATCATTTGCCTCTCCTAATCCGTGTCTGCCCATGATTTCCTCGTTGTGACTATTGTCCGAACCTACCTTTGCATTTAGATCTCCCATGACAATGTTGATGTCTTTACCTGGAAGTTTGTCGATGATGTTCTGCAGGCGGTTGTAGAAGTCATCTTTATTCTCCACTTCTGCATCATTGGTTGGAGCATACACTTGTATGATGTTCATGTTAATGACCTTCTTCCTACCATCTCTTACCTTAAGTTCTTTCTTAGTTCCAAATGAGGCCATGATGATCCTTGGACCATGTGCTTCCCAGCCCCTGAATATCTTTTGAGCTGTTTTTGATATGATCATCCCTACTCCTTCACTGTGTGGTCCATCACTGTCATTTCCTGAATAAATAAAAAGCCCCCCCCCTCTTTCATTCGCTTCTGTCCAGACTGGTTTAAGTGGGTCTCGCTGATTCCCAGTATGTGTATTTGGTATCGGTGCATTTCTTGGAGAACTTGCGCAGTTTTTCCAGCCTCATAAAGGATCCTAACGTTCCACGAGCCGATCCGAAGAGACTTGGACTTGGATGATGGTGGAGACTTCTGCCCAGCAGCTTCCTTTCGGCTTTCACCGCCTTGCATCATAAACTCTCCATTTGGAGAAGATCCACGATCAGCCAAGCAGAGATAATGGTTTTTGCTTGTATGTGTTTCTGTAACAGGTTCTTTTTACGAGAGAGGTTGTTAGCCTCATGACTCAACCCCCGACCTGGAGGCAGGATGACTCTGTTTCAGGAGTCACTACCTGGTTCGCCATTTAGTCGCCTCGTACGACACGCTAGCACCACGTCAGTCCTATTCTTCTCAATGCCGAGACTGCACGGCTAAATCGTACATGCATAGTGGATTATTACTTGCTTAGCTGTGGCTAGCCTGTGGTTTATATCAGTATCTTATGCGACCAATCAGAAGCCTTCTTTCACATCAACAAGTGTGTTGTTGACCAACGCGTTAGACATGAGGTGTTATTCCTCAGTAGAATGCAATTCAACGAAATTATAAAAATAATTTGGTGACCAGGCCCTGAGCATGAGTTCAGAGAGGTTACAAAAGGGGAGGGGGAGGGAGGCGTAGGCGCAAGTGTTTCAGTCCCAGAAAGTTGGCTTTTCAAGAGCCAGATCTGAAATAGACATTAGAGGCCCTCTGAGTAGATAAATGAGTCAAAATTTAAAAATTGAGGATGTTTTACAACCCCTATTGATACAAATGTTAATGATCTAAGAGGCAGGCTGCTTTAACCCTGTCCGTCAGGGCCAACCTGAGCTATAAGGGGTACAATTTCCTCAAGAAAAATACTCGTAAACATAGATATAATATATCGAAACTTAAATCTCTTCCGTGTGATACTGCAAAGCATCTAGCCACTACACCACTGACGCCTATGAAAGTTGGGTGGCTAACCATGGAAAGCGACGGCTGTCTCAGATTTGGCTCTTGAAGACAAGGATTGTAGCCTATCATCCCCAGATGTCAGTATTTACTTACATCATACCCACAGTGCCTAGCTGGTTTCCTTCTCTGTCTTTGATGTACACGGGGTATTTACAGCAGCCCTCAGCACACCAACAACAGCCTCGACAGCACAAAAACGGACGCTCAATGCGGAGAACTTCCTGAAAAAATTGTTTTTAAAAAATATATATCAAACTTGACCAACACAAATATAAAAGTTTTGAGGTGTGTAGACCTTCTCACAATAATTTTATTTTAAAACCCAAACAATTCATTGTTAAGCTCAAAGGGTAACCAGTTTACAATTCTGGAACACTGGTCATTCAGATCACCTGTCCTGATTGCCAATTTGCACCGTAAGGTGATTTTCTCTTTTAATTAAGAAAATAAAAAACTTTGTAAAAGTTTTTAGAATCTAGTTTTTAAAAAATATTTTAAAAAAGTAAACACCTTTTTTCACTCTGTATTTTTAAAAAAACAGTACTATAGATGTTATTTTTTAAAAACAACCTAACGCAAACTACCATTTTACCCATCGAGATATGAAATTGAAGGCATGGTACAAATTTTATTCTACTTTTTTACACTAAATTACTTCCGGTACAAAGAATAAGAAATGTTTAAAAATAAAATGTTATTTCAACTTCTTGAACAGTATAAAGGATGAACTATGTCTAGAAATCTATATAATAAATAGTAAAAAGCATTGTTTGTACTTGTGTAACGCATGTATGATATTTGTTATACATGTACAAACAATGCTTTTTATTATTTATTGCTCCTTCTTACAGTTATTGCTATCTTTGTCTTTCTTCAAGATTAACCAACAGCTATAGCTGCATTGTCCTTTTAATACGGTAAAATTCCATTGCTACCAAATATTTTGTCACCATGTCTGAACAACAAAAGATATCATAACATTGTTACTACACAGGCTTTATCATCCATCCCCTTGCTTTCTTCTCAGAGAGTCTGATTTGCTTTGTTGTAATGATAAGTTACCTCATTTTTGCCTATATAATAAAGACTGTGGGGCGCAGTGGATTGGGGCACAGTAGCAATGCTTGTATTGATGTTACCGAGGTACAGTGGCTCTCAAGGGGAAACCGAGACAGTGATTAATTGAAATGAGAAAGGCTAATGGAAACCCCTCTCCATCGCAACTTTGGCACCCTAGCATCTAGGCAATGGACGCCTTATGTTCAAACACAACAGTGCGTTACGTAGCGTTTCTTTAAATACCATACTAAGTTTCTACTGATCCATTTTGCCGCTATGCATGGTTTACTGGGCCCCAGATCCGCCATGTTGGAAATCTGTGGGCAACAATGGTTCGAGCTTTTCTTAATTGTTCTTTCCACCCGTAGAATATTTCCTTTTAATAATTGTCTTAGAACAATTAAGCCATGAATGCGAACACGTTCGGAATATCATCTATTCTTTAATACACACAGTAAACCATAATCTATTTTTTTTTATACCATACTTGGAGCTGTTTTAGCATTGCACTTCCGGTAAAATATATCCTTATATCTCACACGTGAAATATAGGCTGGCTAAGCTGATATCTCACACGTGAAATATAAAAATGTGCATAAATTATTCCGCGCTCTAGATCTATATATATTCGTCTTCTACTTCTATCCCTCTGTGTAGGCTAAGTAAAGTAGCCTAGATCTAGATCTAGATCTAGATCTAAAACGCGCTCTTTGCCTATAAATCAACATGGCATCAAGAAAGACTAGAATTGTGAGGGAACATTTTGAGAAGGATAATCCTTCACAGGTTAAGTGTTTATTTGGCAAGAAAACATTTACATTCCCAGGTTGATGTGTTGATTTTGGGTGCCTGGTGTGATGAAGCCCACGTGGGACGCTCAATAAGTTATAAACGATCCGGAAACGACAAATGCAGTTTTTGGGACACCTGAATAGACATAAGGGTCTTAAACATCTAGCTCTCACTGGCAAAATTAAGGGCAAACGAGGCAGGGGTAGGCCCAGAACAACATACTTAGGGAACCTAAACAAATGAGTAACAGGGAACGATCAGGGAAACGTAGCTTTTTTTAGAGCATCCGAGCAAAGGAATTAATGGAAAACCATGATCGCCGATGTCTGTCGCAGATCTGGCACTGGATGATGATGATGGTGTGTGTTTTGGTAAAGAACTTATTTTTTATCAATCAAGTTCAAATAGGCCTATTAGGTATCGGTATCGGAATCGAATCGATTCCTTGAAAAAGTATCGGGTATCGCATCGATTCTCAAATAGGGAAATAGTGGTATCGTCCCAGCACTAAATAGAACTAGTAAATAGCGCCACACAGATCTAGAATCTAGATCTAGGCCTATATCAGCCTGAATAAATGAAATGTTCTTGAAAGACAAATTGAAAGAGATACAATGTTTTGAAATTTGATAGTCAGTTTATCAAATAATTTTTTAAAAACCACTGTCTAGGTCACTTGCATTGCCTTTTGAATTTTTGTTTACATTAACTCTATCACTACATATACTAAATGATCATCTATATAAATCAAAGAAGATTAAACTTTAAAACAATATGTAATTGATAAATATGATATTAGTCAATATACGAGTATAACACTCTTGCATAATTAATTTTTTGAAAATAATAAAAGTTACTTCCCTTGTTATTCTGATATTCTTACCTCCTCTTATAAAATCCAGAATATTGGAAATCGACAGACAAAAACTAGATCTAACTACATATTTAGAATCAGCACGTCAGTACCCAAGTAACTTGACAACTTTTGTTATTAAAAATGCTTTTTTTTTATCTTTGACCAATTTAAAGCAATGCGTTAGTTCTAATATCTAGATCTAGATCTAGATCTAGAGAATAACTCTTTGCCTTTGGTTTGTTTTAGTTACGAAGTTTGAAATCAAAATCAAAGTCATCTCTATTCTAACAAAAACATGTCATAATAATGCAGTTTCTTTCAACTTTTGAATGGTACATTTTCTGATTACTTTGCTTATATTTACGTTATTATAGTTTCGTTTGGGGTTTGTTTACTTGTAAAGTAAAGGTAAACAATCCAGATTTTTCCCAATTCTCAATCTGACCCTGACTTCGACGGCATGAAAATGTTGTTTTCATGTGAGACTCTAGAATGCATCCTCTTGTCCATTTGACGGGTCATTTGAACTTTGTTGATACGGACGTATTTCGCCAATTGATATCAGTATGGTATAAAAAATTTATTATACTCGTTGTGGTGTTAGACCATGATTTATCCTACTTGTGAAATTGCCAGTTGTAATCACTCGTTGAAACTCGTGATTACAACTTGGCAATTTCACTCGTAGGATAAATCGTGATCTAACACCACAACTCATGTATTAAATTATTTTTATCCTCTGTACCCTGATCTCCCTACAGTTTTATTTATGACTTCAGTTTCATAATCCTAACATAAGTTTTCTGATTTTTAATTAGACGATAAGAAATACCAGTAAAAGAAATTAACATGTTCACATCTATCTTTATTTGACACCTCTTCAAAACCTCTTCAGAATAGTTTTAAAATACCTCAGAATACTGCACACTGTGCAATTTAGGAATCGGAGAGTACGGTCTCAAAGATTTAACCAACTGTGCCTTTAATTCTTAACAATAGTATAGGGCATTTTTAACAAACTTAGTACCAAAACTACAGGTATAGGTCTACAAAAAAAATCTTCCATTAAGTTTTGTTGTTGTTGCTTTTGTTGTTGTTGTTGTTGTTGTTGTTGTTGTTGTTGTTGCTTTCATTCTTGTTGTTGTTGATTTTTTTGTTTGGCTTTCCTATAGGCCTATATACGATGAAGCTTTTTTTTTCAAATCATTGAAAAAAGAATTCGCTCAAAAGCTATGCAAAAGGGAAGCAAAAAGTAATAAAGTATAATTCTCCCCCCCCCCCCCCTTTCCCCCCTGTGTGTGTGTGAGTGTGTGTGTGTGTGTGTATGTGTGTGTGTGTGTGTGTGTGTGTGTGTGTGTGTGTGTGTGTGTGTGTGTGTGTGTGTGTGTGTGTGTGTGTGTGTGCATAAATATATATTGCATGAGAAGAAAGGAAGTAGTAAGAAAAGTTTTGAAAATGGGTAATCAAAATAATGTAAAGCGCAATGAGCTACGTCTTTTGGAAATGCTCTTTATTATTATTATTATTATTATTATTATTATTATTATTATTATTATTATTATTATTATTATTATTATTTATTATTATTATTGTATTATTTCACCTGCTGGAAATTGTCTGTTATGTGAATGGTGAAACCTCTATCGGATCCACAAAATAACCTGTGGCATGTGCCTGATTCTGAGGAAAAAGACAAAAGATGTTTTATATAATTCTGATAATAAAATAAAAGTTTGAAGTAAGAATTTACTCAGTAAACAAAATATAAGTCTAAAATAAATTGAACAGATAAAAAAAGCTGTTCTGATTCACCAAATGCATCATAATTATTTTTTAGGCAGCTTTGTGAAATCAGGCGCTCGTCAAATACATGTAACCAAAGTGAAGAAACTGGCATTTTTCTGCAGGTTTGAGAATTTTTATCTAATTTTTGTCTTTTGGCTCCACACTTTTCATGTCCATTAAACACATTTCTGTGTGGATATTACTTTTACGTCTTAAAACAAGTGACCCCCACTCTTTCAATCACCAATACTTCAAATTGTATAGAAGATAAATTATAATCTTTTTTCATTAAAAACAAGACAAATGAACAAGCTTTAAGATGATACAAATTAATCTACAAGCCAAAAATTGACGAGTACCTGATTCCACCGCATCATGACACGTACATTTTGGTCTGCCTGCTACTCCTGCTACAGTCCCAAGGTATAGCGAAGTATCTGACAGTTGTTTTACTGTCTTTTCTGCTTTGCTTCAATTTTTTTAAATCAGTTTGTCACACTGGTCAGGCGAAAATGTTTATGTCAAAATCAGGACAATGACTACATTCTTAAAAAGTAGGTGTCAGATATGTTTTGAAACATTCATAAGGACATATTTGTCTTTGTTTTGTTTTTTGTTGGGTTTTGGGGGTTTTGTTGGGGGGGGGTTTGGTTGTTGTTCTCAAAATTATGAAATGTGCAAGTTACATTGCACTGCCTTCGAATTACTACAATAAGAAAGCTAAACAGGTAGCAATACAAGTGAGGCATCGTGGTGAAATCAGGGGCACGTCAAAATAATGAATTCGAAGATACAGACATTTTTTATGTGTCCTTTTAAAAACATATTTCTGAGTGGACTTTACTGAAAAACGTTGAACAAAGGCAACATATTTGTAGTTTCCAAGGACACTCAAGCTTTAGGAGGCACCAAACTTTTTCGGACATTTTCTCGCTGATTTTACGTTTGAAAGGACTTCCTTTTCCTTCATATTCAAATATTTTGACTTCTATTTAAAAAATTGTTATCAAATGCAAGAAAGAAGAACAATCTATAAGATGATACCAGTGACTCTAAATGTCAAAAAATATTGCAGAGCGCCTGATTATTTTAGGAGTCTGTCGAAAATGTCATGAAATGAAACTGGACGAGCCAACGTGGGGCGTTTACAAAGAAAAACTTGAGAAGAGACTTGTGCAGTTGCCAGGACATATGAATGGACATAAATACCTTGTCTTCACGGGAAAATAGAAGGGAAAAGATGTAAAGGTCAACCAGAGAGAGAGAGAGAGAGAGAGAGAGAGAGAGAGAGAGAGAGAGAGAGAGAGGGGGGGAGAGAGAGAGAGAGAGAGAGAGAGAGAGAGAGAGAGGGAGAGAGAGAAGTGAGCTTGAGAAAAAGAGAGGGAGAAGACACAGAGAAAGGGGAGCAAGATATAGACAGGGGGGAGAGGGAGAGAGATGCAAGAAAGAGAGAAAGAGGGGGAAGGGAGAAGGGACAGGAGTGAGAAAGTGTGTGTGTGTGTGTGTTAGGGCTGGATTCTGCTCGGTTAATCGAAGTCTTGCAAAGCAGCGGACGTCTTATGCTAGAGGCTTGCGAGCAGGCTTGTGATTTGATTTGCCTCCCACTTGCTACCGGAGGGAACTTACGGTGAGTTGTGACTCGCGGACAGTCCTGTTGTACTGTGTCGTGACGTCGCGAACTCTTGTGGCAGTGGGCTCAGTACATATTACAGAAGATTCTCTGGTTATTTGAGTTGAGAGGCTTGCACCAAAAGTGCAAGATCAGTTGGGTTTTTTTCATAGTTCGGTTGTAAAAAACGAAAAGCTCTATTCAATGCACTTAAAAATTAATATTGGATCGGCTATTCTTATTATGTTAAGGCCTGTTTATTTTTAGTGTGCACGAGCCAAGCGATTCATCGTCGCACGCAAAAGACCTCAGTTCGATTCCCGTATATGGAGAGAAATTTTTACTGAGAACCTCCGTCTTTCTGCTGGGGCGTTGTTCCCTCTCAGCCCAGGTTGGTCCTGACTTTGGGTTGAAGTAGGCCTAGCCCGTCTCCTAAATGTTCTGTATTATGTCACTGTGAGTGCAACACATCTACAAAATAGGTTACATACATACGATACAAAAGCCAATCACAACGACCCCTGGAGTTTTCCATTTTAGGGTAATCTAAGTCAACTTATTCTTATTACTACCAGAAACCTAGGTCTCTGTTACTACAATGCCACACTCCCTCTCACTTATCCATTCGCTTAGCTGATCAACGGCGGGAAGTTGAAAATAACTTCAGCTCTCTACGCCTTGCACCAAAACAAACCCAGCCTCTCCCTTCCTCCACGGTTCAAAGTTCACACAGCGAGCAGTGTTTGCTGTTTGAACACATCGAGGTGTCTTGTCGCCATCGAGCTGTCCTACGCCATCGAGCTGTACCGCGGCGTGCCGCTCGCTCGGTGTATCGAGACAGAAGGAGCCAGTACAAGTCAGCAGGTCAGGTTTCGAGCTTGTCCTGGGGCAAATCTCTAGGCCTAGCGCAAATCAGTACTGTGTGAATGGTGGGGCCTGTGGCTGCGGACGGGACTTGAGGCTTGCGCAGGCCTTCGATTAATCGAGTAAACTACAGCGCCACGCGCGCAGTAACTCTGGGCGAGATCTCTCACTCTCCCCCTCTCTCTTTTTCTGACGTAAGTGGCTTCGCGGATTGAAAGCAGGGTGGGGATGATGAGGGGGCCTGACATGAGTGGCTTCGTGGATTGCTAGTTGCAGTGGACTTGAAGTTTAGACTGGACCAAGGAGGTTACAGTTTGCGCTAGACTCAACTTATCATGCTGGTGATTTGATTTGATGATTTGACCTAGTGATTTGAGGCTTGTGACTTGAACTAGGGGCTTGTGAGCACGAGCGGGTTTGCTACTGGGGTACAGCTCTAGTGTGTGTGTGTGTGTGTGTGTGTGTGTGTGTGTGTGTGTGTGTGTGTGTGTGTGTGTGTGTGTATGTGTGTGTGTGTGTGTGTGTGAGTGAGGGACACAGAGAGAGAGAGAGAGAGGGGGGGTGAAGCGAAACAGAGAAAGCCAACAGGGAGGGGGGAGTGGAAGAGAGGCATACACAGAGACGGGCACAGACAAATATAAGGGAAAAAGAGGTTGCCCTAATGTACATATAATTCTAAAGAATAAACTCACCCTCAAAAGCATAAAAGACTTGCTGATTTAAGCTGTTCATTATACGGTATTTGTTTTTGCATTCCCAGCCTGTCAGCACTGTAAAATGAAACGTTCAGGCACTAAAATATAATGTCATCTAACATTCAGATCAACACAGTGAAATAAAACTTCAGTTACTTCAACATAGCAAACACTCAGGCAGCACTCTGAAATAAAACTACATTACAAATTACAGTTTCTAAATCATACAACTCACCCTCAGATCAACACTGTAAAATGAAACTGTAACAAACAAAACTTCTTAAAAAGCAACACCACTATAACACAAATGGAATATATCTTTTTTATAGAGGTACCAACTCTATACGTTTAGATGCGTACTTATTTTACAAGGGTACTTTAACAATAATCATTACCTTATATACTTTACTTGTTCGTATACAATGTAGTTCATTGATGCTACTAAGGAGTAGGTCTTTACAGTCCATAATATTCTTCAAAAGTCCGCCATAGCCTGTCTCCTTCGACTCCTTCTCCTGATTCACGAACGCTATGTTCATGCATCTGCAGTGTTCTGTGGCTCTCACATACAGACTTCAACATAATTAATTACCACCTTGATAGAAAGCCCTGATTTTTAAATATCCGAAAAAAAACAGCATTTTTATCGATTTGTGTGCGACACCACGGACATTCCTCAGTTAAAATTTCTAACGCACGTCATAAACGGACGTATGGTCTCGAACTGTGCTCACTTTGGTGGCAATATAAGCCGCCGTTTGCGCAAAATCCAGTATCGCATGAACATGCCACAAAGACAAAAGCTGAGAGTCTTTGATCGTGCCAGAGCTATGGCATGGCTGCAGGATGGAGTTTGAGACCGAGAAGTTGCCAGAAGGCTTGCAGTGTAACACTCTGTCATTGTCTGCCTGAGGCAGCGCCATCAAGCCACTGGACCAGTCCAAGAATGCCCGCGTGCAGGTCGACCCAAGAAAACCAATCAGAGTGTTTGCAAGTGGCCCTTAAGTTACGTTGAAGTTTAAGTCCGTATATTTCTCTCAGTACGATGAAATATGTGCATTCCTTTAAATGTCTAAATCCAAAATGCGTGTTTCTCAGGTCTCTACTACGTGTCTTACTCTACGCTCAAAGATTTGGTCATATTGTATCTTTCCATATAGATCTATATGGTTAAGTAGTGATATTCCACTGCAAGTGTCACGTTCTTTTTTATTGCCCTTTTTTCCAAATAGTCACTATGATAGTGTTTTGACTCCATTCCTGTGTTGAAGACTCGTTAGAACCACAGCATACATATGTCTCCACAAGTCTCAATTGTTTTTGTAGTGATGTCTTTTGGTCTTGAAGATTTGTTCTAAGGGCTTTTTTTCAGTGCTTCTTCCACCTCAATACATATCTATTAAAATTTGATTTCCGTGATGCATTTTGCTTCTTCTGCTTTCCTTACAAACCCCACTCAGTGCTTAACCTTGTCTTTTGCGTGTTTCCCAATCCAGAAACGTAGATACTTTTCATGGGTTTCTTTGCATTTCGATTAATCCTTTCTTATAATAATATTTGAAATCCCACCAGGTCTATCTTTTTGTTTCCCCTGAGCTCAACAGTTTGGGGCTTTGTCTGTCAATCCACTAACGATCCATGCTTTACTTTTTGTCGCTCTTCTTTTTCCATGTCCGTTAACGTTTCCTTTGCCGTTGCCATTTTGGTCAGTCTGTTTGGTTTTTCGCCTTTGGTTCGTTTTTAGCTATAAATAATGAGCTACCATCCCTTAAACCATCATTAACATAATCGTTCCCATCCTCAATTACTCCATCACTATTGACACTACAATCGTACAAGTAAAACGTAAAGTTTCCAGCTTCAACTTGAGACCGAAATTCATTGTGGGGAACATTCCAGCTAGAACGTGCATCAGTAATTAACACCTCTGGATGTTTTCCAGTTATTTGATACTTGGACATTTACGTTAGCTTTTGTAAAAAAAAAACGTATGGTCGATGATTCATTCCATTATCTGCCCTGCACGGAAGTCTGTAATCTAATTTTGTCTCTTCACCATTGTAAGCAAGCAAAAGAAATAAGTACATGTACCATTCCTGACCCATGAGGGTTTTATCGAGATCTCCTTCTGTCTGCACGGCGGGTACAGTGAAGTACACGTACCCTTCTTACTCCAAGTGGGCGCCAGCAGACATGGTTGACAACCCGCCTTCTTAATGACCTAGATGCTACCGATAATGGTGTAAACAAATTACAATAGCAATTTAACAAACTGTGAAACATGTAAATACTGTGAGATGGTACACTCTTCAAAATACCTTCAAATAACTCCACAATCTGCTTGCAAATGAGTTGGTCCACCTGGGTCAAATATTCCAGGCCGGTAGGTACTCCCGAGATAGCCCCAGGGTGAGGCATCATTGGAACTGTCAAAACAATGGTTTCAGAGTTTGTTTAAAACATCATAGACAGTGACAAAAGAGTTAATTTACGTTTGAGTAAAGTGTTGAGTTTGAAGAACATGGAGTATGGAGCGAAAAAATAAAGAGACAACAGAAGAAAAGTAAAGAAATACATACTACTTTAATGTACCACAAGGGCCCCTCAATTCCCCAAAAAGAACAAAGCATACAGCTAATGGATGAATTGATAGCCCTTTAATTTACTTTTCATTTCTAAAGTGGCTGTTGCCAGTTCTGATATAACTACAAACTCTTCAAGAGTGTAGGGAAATTTTTTTTTAAGGAAAAAGAGTAAACCCAGGTAGACTGCTGGACAGAAACAAAGAAACACGGGCCATTAATATTCATCACTTTGGGACAGTTATTTCTAGAATGGGCGGGGGAAGATTGGGAGGGGGTTGGGAGGATTTTGAGCAGGTATTGGTATAGGAATCTCTTCCTCCTGCTGCTTCTGCTGCTGCTCCTCCTCTTCATTCCTTCTTCCTCATCCTGCTCCTCCTCGTCCCTTCTTCTTTCCCATCCTCCTCCTCCTCCCCCTCCTCGCCCTTCACGCTCCTTTTCCTTTAGCTCCTCCTTCCCCCTTTCTTCTTATATTATGCTCTTCCTCATCCTTCTCCTCCTCCTGCTCCCCCCCCCCCTTTTTTTCCTCTTTCTCTCCCTTCTTTTCATTCTATTTTAGAGAAAATGGTATAATGAATACAAAAGAGCTAAATATAAAGGTACAAACTGTGAACAACTTACAGTTTTCGCCAGGCTGTTTAGCAACCGCCATCTCTGAAAAACATTTTTTATCTAGGATTATCATTTAACCTACTTTTTTACACGTGACATTGTTTGACAAGACCTCATGAATGCTTTATAGTAATATTATATTCTCTATCTTCAGTTATGTTATAACTAATGCATTCTTCTTGCAAAACGTGCATAATTATTATCTCACTCTCATGATCATGATATACGTATAATATATAATCGCAAGGAGGGGTTTCCCCAAGAAGACAAAGGAAATAACATTTGTTGAAGGGGTACTCTACGCCCATGAACGAAGCCCAAATTCGTCATCATCGTGTTATGCGCGTCGGATAACCAACTCAAAGTGTACATTGTAGTATATATATATATATGACTATATTTTCTGCCTGGACAAATAAACAAAGTTCCAATCACCTCATTCGTGCACGTCAGATTCTGGTGGTTGCCTGTGTGTAGTGAGTGACTGGAACGCAAAATGCAGCCTAGTGCGGAGTTTTAAGGTACATGCATACATTATATGATAAGTAAAGGGATTCGTCTTGTCAAAATCACTTTGTGTCTGTGTGACTGCAAAGTAACAATTTTTCACACCATCGACATGGGAACTAAAAGATGTACAGGAAAAGCATTTATTGTTTATTGCGTAACTATGGGATGTGTACTACAGACATCATGAATTCGGTAGTTCTTTTTGTTTCATAAATCCCTGGGCGATTTTAACTATAACTTAAAAGAACTAGTACATCAACCCGTTCATAGAACGGGGCAAGACAATATTGGCGATAGAAACAGCATAAAGAGAGGACAGTATACATAACAACAAAGGCCAGACTTGAACTGAAAGCTCTTATGTTTTTCCTAAAATGTTTTGCCTCAGCGGTGTTTGGAGTCAGAATATCCTTCAGAATTGTCGGAGGCGCGGGTAAAGGTGGTAAATTCACCAGTCCATTCATTTAGAAATAGACTTGCAAAATCGACAAATTAATGTCATTCTGGAAAGTTCGTGAGGTGGAAGGGGATTGTTCGCGCTCTCATATAGAGCTGGGGGACGCTGTTGTCGACCATGCCTATGATTTTGATCAAGATTTAGATCTATATTGCAAAGGAAGATCTAGAACTGCTTGCCGTTGAATCTGGCAAGATCGGCGTCTGATCCTATCTCGAGGTGGCATTTTCTTAATCTGTCTAGATCTAGAATGTAGTCTATCTAGATATGGAGATCTAGACTTAGATCTAGCCTACCTGACCCAATCTCAAGATGGCATCTTCCCTCACTTCACTCGGCTCTAGATCTATAGTCACATTTTGGTTTAAACTTCGCTCGGCTCTGGTCAAGTTTTGGTTTAAAATTTCTTAATCTGTCTAGATCTAGATATAGACTTAACTCTTCGGAGGGCATCTTCCCTCTCTTCGCCCGGCTCTATAGCCCGGGCAACACAAAATGGACAACTTTTCGACTACCTCATTACACTGAATCTAAGTGGCTAGTCTCTCTGATTTTTTGCATGCACCCCTGAATTCTATCATACCTAAAATGCATTTGCGAAAAAAATAAAGACTCTATATCATCATTAGTAATTAATTGCTCATTAAACTCAACACCGCACACTTTTTATGGCAAGCACGGTACAATGCTAAAACCATAAACAATACAGGGTGTCGTTGCTGGGGCTCAGCCAGAAATTTCAGAGGGGGAGGGGGGGAGGAGGGGAGGAGGGATACAGTTTTTTCAAACCCAAAAGCGGGGGTCAACAGAGTGCTAAATTTGAAGCGCAATTAAGGGTATGACACTGGGCACCCCC